TTTGTGAAATTCATTGGATTCCTTGTGAATATTCTTAAAAAAAAATTTTTTTCAAATATATCTGGAATTGTAAGATTTTGAGGTGAATTTTAATAATGTCCGTAGAACAAGGTAGTGAGGAGGTTCCAGTTGCTGTTGACCAGCAGCCAACATGTGGAGCTTGTGGGTCAGCAGTGACTACAAGAGCACAATTCGTAAGAACTAATTGTGGACATTGTTTCCATAAGTCCTGTCTTTCGAAGGCGGAAAAACTTAGACCCTTTTGTCCGGTTTGTAACTGTAGACTTTTAACAGAACCTCCAACGCCCAGTTCGTCAGGTATAACTACTAGATCGCAGGCTAAATCTACTTCGTCTCAAATACCTCATCCCAGGGTTTCTGAAGATCGTACAGCTCCAGCTACGGCAACTCTTCCCACACCAGGTTGTCCAGAGAATACTATGACAGTTAGGCCCAGCGAGTTGCAGGAAATTATATCCTCTATTGTTACTGCCCAACAAACGCAACTTTTTGCAAACTTAAGTGACCAAATATCAAGATTGGTTCAGACTAATATAGAGTCAAGGTTTTCGAGAATGAATTTGAATGGTCAGTCCACTTCTCCAACAGCAGTTCAACCCCCTATTCAAAATGCGTCACCCCGACAAATGCACACCCTACCTGCTGTAGAGGAACGTACATTTAGGGAAATGTTTGGCATTTCCCTTAACAACTCCCAGACCCAAAATAATGCTCCGCTGAATACTAGTAGATCAGGACCTTCCGCTTCCAATAATTCCTCGTCATCCGACCTAAGCTCTAGACCGGATAAAGTATTGCACATAATCTCCAACTGGAGAATAAAATTTTCTGGAACTTTTAATAGCATTTCTGTTGAGAATTTTATTTATCGAATTGAGGCATTAACTTCACAAACACTACAAGGCGATTTTGATCTTCTGTGCCGAAATGCCAGTTCTCTGTTTGAAGGAAAGGCCGCAGATTGGTTCTGGCGGTATCACAGGTCAGTAGAATCAGTTTGTTGGAATGGTTTATGTAGGGCTATGAGGCAACAATACAGCGATTCGAGGTCAGATGTAGACATCAGAGAGTTAATAAGGGACCGGAAGCAGAAACAGGGAGAGAGCTTTGACAACTTCTACGAGTCTGTGGTAGAGCTGACGGATAGATTGAAAGAGCCTCTTTCCTCTAGCTTGTTGGTAGAGATTCTTAGGCGTAATTTGCTTCCGGAAATACAGCATGAGATCCTAAATTTGAAGATTTCATCCCTGCAGGAATTAAGGGATATTTGTAGAAGAAGAGAATTCTTCATGCAGGATGTTAGGCGCAAGCATGGGTTAGGTTTCTCTAAGCCCACTTTGGTCCCTAAAAGGGTGTCTGAGTTAGATGAGATGGTAGTAAACCAGGACGTGGAGCCATTGGCCAAAACGACTGATGAAATAGCTGCAGTGGGTTTCAGTTGTTGGAACTGTCGTCAGTCCGGCCACCGTTACCAAGAGTGTTTGGCTGATAGGACCGTATTTTGCTACGGTTGTGGTACGCCGGATACCTATAAGCCAAACTGCAAAAAATGCAATTCAAAAAACTAGATGTCGAGCGCACTGGCGTGTGCACCCAAAACTATAACACCGATTATAAAATTTTAAGAAAAATGGAACAAAGTTTCCCGAAAACCAGTCTCGGTAATCATTTTGAGAATTCGAATGATAAATCTAATAAGAACTTACATATATTTAAGCCTTTGCATGTCCGCATAAAAGAATATTACGAAGCTAGGGAGAGGATATTTAATGACGAACCCCAGTTGAAACCATCCAGATCAGCAAATAGGATTCGTAACTATTGGAGAAAAGTTAAAAATTTCAGGGAAAAGTTACTTTGCTCAGTTCTCGATAATCCATGTGATGTTAGGCCATACGCTGAGGTCATCCTTTTTGGAGAAAAAATGCTTGGACTTATGGATACAGGGGCTTCACTTAGTTGCATTGGTTCTCAGGTAGCGAAGAAGTATATAGAATCAGGAAAACCGTATAAAAAGTTGAGATCGTCTGTTAAGACAGCTGATGGGAATAGTCAGGATGTTGTAGGATATGTTGACACAAAAGTAACATTCAAAGGGTCTGAAAAGAATATATCTATTTTTATCATTCCTAGCCTTGAAAAGAATTTATTTCTAGGGGTAGATTTTTGGAATCTGTTCGATCTTTTGCCTCCAGGTCTAGTTACAAAAGAGTACATATCCGATACTATGTCCGAGGTTTCAGAAATAACTCCTCAAATCCAACTCACTGAATCCCAGAAGCACTATCTTGGTAAGGTTATCAATCTTTTTCCTTCCTATTCCAAGCAAGGACTTGGAAGAACCCATATTCTCCAGCACTCCATTGACACAGGTACGGCGAGGCCCATTAAACAGAGGCACTTTCCTGTTTCTCCGGCCATTGAAAAATTAATATATGCCGAACTGGATAGAATGTTAGAGCTTGGAGTTATAGAGGAAAGTAACAGTGCCTGGTCCTCGCCAGTTGTTCTTCACAGAAAACCTGGGAAGAATAGGCTATGTTTAGACAGTCGTAAGTTGAATTCTGTCACCGTAGGTGATGCTTACCCTCTTCCCCATATTGATGGTATACTGAGCAGGTTGCCTAAAGCCGAATTTATTACAGCCTTAGATCTGAAGGATGCCTTTTGGCAGATTCCGTTGGATCAGCAATCTAGAGAGAAAACAGCATTTACTGTTCCTGGGAGGCCGTTGTACCACTATACGGTAATGCCCTTTGGCCTTTGCAACGCGCCTCAGACCATGTCGCGATTAATGGACAAGGTCATCCCACCGGCTCTCAGGACAGAAGTGTTTGTTTATCTCGATGATTTGCTGATCGTTTCGGACTCTTTTGAAAGGCATCTCGAAGTTCTAAGGCTGGTGGCAGGCAAGATAAAGGATTCCGGTCTTACCATCAATGTGGAGAAGAGTAACTTTTGCGTGCCCGAAGTTAAGTATCTTGGACATTTGGTTGGAGGTGGGGTCATAAGAACAGACCCTGAAAAAGTATCTTCTATAACAGAGTTCCCAGTACCTAAGTCGGTCAAACAAGTACGTCGGTTCTTAGGCATGACAGGCTGGTACCGGAAATTCATTAGGGACTACGCTTCTGTTGCTACACCTCTCACTGACTTAACTAAAATTAAGCGTAAGTTTGTTTGGACTGATGAAGCCCAAAAATCTTTTGAGGCTTTAAAGACCCATCTGAGCACCGCTCCAGTTCTACATAGCCCAGATTTCTCACAGCCGTTTTTCATACACTGTGACGCTAGTAGAACTGGTATAGGAGGTGTATTGGTCCAGAAGGATGCGGAGGGCGAAGAGTTTCCTATTGCCTTTATGTCAAAGAAACTCAATCAAGCCCAACGTAACTATTCAGTGACCGAACAAGAATGCTTGGCAGCAATGCTAAGCATTAAAAAATTCCGAGCGTATGTGGAAGGACATGAGTTCACAGTCATCACCGACCATGCGTCGTTGAAGTGGCTCATGTCCCAAACAGACCTCAGTACTCGGTTAGCTCGATGGGCCTTGAAGCTTCAAGGATATAAATTTTCTATTAAACATAGACGAGGTAGCCAGAACGTAGTCCCCGATGCACTTTCCCGGACCAATACCGAAGATTTGTCGGCCTTAGAAGTAAGCCTATCTTCTCTTGATATTGAAAATGGGAGTGGGTTGTTTGTAGATTTAGAGTCCGCTCATTTTCAATCAGATAGCTATAAAGAACTTTTGAACAAGGTCCAGAAGACATTAGATAACATGCCCGACCTCAGGATTATTGATGGGTATATTTATAGAAGGACGGAACATGCTTCAGGTGATCAGCTACAGGATGATTTATCCTGGAAATTGTGGATCCCTCAATCGATGGTCCCGGAGTTGTTAAAAAGAGCCCATGATGACTCATTATCCTCTCATGGAGGTATCAATAAAGCTCTCTTCCAGCTGAGAAAATATTACTTCTGGCCGAATATGGTTGTGGACGTAAGAAATTACATAAATAATTGTGACGTCTGTAAATCCACTAAACACCCTAGTCAGACCCTCAGACCCCCACTTGGTAAAACTTCGCAGACTCAACGGTTTTTCCAAAAAGTTTATATAGATTTTTTGGGACCATATCCTCGATCGAAGTCAGGAAATATAGGTATTTTTGTGGCCCTAGACCACTTTACAAAATTCCCGTTCCTAAAGGCTGTTAAAAAGTTCTCGACCGATAGTGTCATAAATTATCTAGAGAATGAGTTATTTCATACGTATGGTGTACCGGAAGTGGTAGTATCAGATAACGGATCTCAATTTAAATCAAAGCAGTTTAGTCAGTTTCTTAAACGGTACAGTGTGACTCATTTCTGCACAGCAGTGCACTCTCCACAGGCAAATGCATCAGAACGCGTAAATCGATCGGTCTTAGCGGCTATCAAATCATACATCACGCCTGACCAAAAAAATTGGGATCTGATGTTGAGTGACATTGGCTGCGCACTGAGATCCACAGTTCATTCTGCTATAGGGACATCGCCTTACTACCTTGCATTCGGTCAGAATATGGTCACGAATGGTAAAACATATCAGCTTCTGCGCCAACTAGAATTATTAGAGGATAGAACAGTGAATTTTGATAAAAATGATTCCCTTGCTATAATAGGCAGTAAAGCCAAAGAAATGATGAACAAGCAATTTAACAGGAATGAAAGAGCTTATAATCTTAGATCCAGGGAGGTATCCTATGATGAAGGCCAGGAGGTATTTAGAAGGAACTTCAAGCAAAGTAACTTCGCCCAGGGTTATAATGCAAAACTTGCACCAACTTTCCTCAAGGCTCGGGTGCGTAAAAAATTAGGAAATTGTAATTATGAACTGGAGGATTTGCAAGGTCATTTTATAGGTGTATATCATGCAAAAGACATACGGCAATAGAAATTGATTGCAAGCGGTATCAGCTTTTGGCGGCAATTTATTTACCCCCAAAGTCTGATTTTGGCCGGGGGGTTTGTAGAGGCGCTTGCAATGATTGGTTTTTTTTCAATATATATAATTTTTTTTAAAGTCCTAAATTGGTAACGGCTTTTCGAGCGACCTCTACTGGATATTCGAGCCATTGTGGTGTTTTCTATTTATCAGCCAATTGATCTTTTCTGCTGTTCGTTTTAGCCATCTTGTCAAAAAGCTTTGGAATGATAGCGTTGGTTTGCAATTTTGGAGGGTTTCTGTGTCGAGGAGACAGAATTCTTGTCCATTTGGTTGCCTTCAAGACATAAGTGAACACCTTTCTGCTTGAGTTGTGATTACAAGTGCAATTTCTTTCTTCAAGTGAAACACGGCTTATTTAATTTAAATCCTATAAAGTTATAATTAACATTTTGGTTGTAAATACAATCATTAATACATGAAATGTGAGTATACTGGAACTTTATGCATAGTTTCACCACGTTGAGAATTCCACTCTTTTAAATTCTTATTAATTTTGTATAGATACGATTCGGCATATTCAAATACGTGTTCGCGTACCTTATTACAATAAAACACGTATTCTGTGGTATTCACTTTTCATTCCTTATCTATTGGTGATTTGTTGAAAAGGTAATTTAATTTGCCTTAACCTTTTCTTTAATCTCCCTAAATTCTCCTACTCGTTCTCATTTATTGTTTGGTAGATCCAAAGCAGTCATGTAAGGAAGAAGCATAATAGAAATTGGGACAAACATTTGGCGTTTGGTTTTGCTAAGTTGTCATCAAACACACCGACCAGTTTTAAGCAGCTGTCGTGATTATCGCATCGCTGACGTACCGCTCAGGAAAACAATATAATCCGTCTGTCCGTCGGTAGTATTTATAGTGTGTGACTGGAGAAGAATTCAGAGAAACTGCCATCTAGAGGAACCCTACACTTTGAGTGATATATTTTCCTTGGCAAGAAAATAAATTTTATTTGGATTTCACCGTACTATCCTCAAAAGGGCATAAAATTTGCTGCAAATTTAGTAAAAACCATTGGTCGGGATCACCTAAACTGAGCCCGGAGTGATTTTGTATTCCTTAAGGTCAAAAAAAGTGCTAAAAACATCCAAAAAATTGAGTAAGGAGACAAAAAAAAGTGAAATTTTTGTAAGCATGCATAAGCATTGCCACTATTTTTTTGATAACGTCCTGAACAAATGAAAAAAAAACCTAATTTCTTTCCTAAATAATTTAAACTTCCAAACCCGTTTGCGTTTCTAATTAATTTTTTTTTCTTTTAACTTCGAGTGTTATTTTTGATTAAAATATAAATTGGTTTTCTTGTTTAAAAATTGAAAAGATTAAAGAAGAAAAAGAAAACAGCAATAAAAAGTAAAAACATAATAAATTCCGCAATATTCAGTGAGCACTTACTAAATATACACACATTATTTACATATTTATTTTTTTTCCTTTGGTTGCATTGCATGCCCTTTATGAAGTGTGTTGTGTGTATGTTTATATGTGTCGCTGATGTTGATGTCCACAATGTTAAGTTCTCCATAGCTAACAGAGTGGTTTAATCAAACTTGTATGTCAAACAAGTGTCAACACAGCCTGTATGCTTACAACCGTCTACTTGAAACGTCTCATACATCAAATTAATATGATTGTTTACATTTTGAATTGATCTCTTTTTCTCTTAAGCCAGTGTTGCTGTTACAACGTGTAATCTCAGAGAAAGTACTTTCAACGAGGGAACGCAAGAAAGATGAAACGTAAGTCGATGAACTCTTTGTTTTGATTCTGCACAAAAGCAAAACATAGATCAAAAAACAAATGTAACAATAACAAAACCATAAAAAGAGTGACCATATGTTTTATTTAATGTTATAACTTATTATGCAATTATTAATTTGAAATGTATTGGATAATTTAATATTGAGTTATGACATGTTGATTAGGTTTCTAATTGATATTAAATTTAATATTTATAAGAAATTTCTAATTTTTTTTGAAACCTAAGAAGTGTGTAAAATGTAATGATAATATGGTCACCCTTATTCTGAGTTTTGGTTATTTTTTTTTTTGATGTTTAAGAGAATTTAGAAAAGTTGATGCATAAAAACGCTTCTGACTACGAATGTTAGTTTAGTTGAGGATGTGTAGTCAAGAAGCAATGATGAGCTATGGTTATATTTTTTTCTATTTCTTTTTCTTTCAAACAATTTTTTTTTTTATAAATTCAGTAACGGAATGAATCCAAAGTGAAATAACACTCGAACATATTTCTTGTTTTTATATTTATACTAGCTATTAAGATTTTGTTTTCATACTTTCATTAATTATATATTTTTCTTAATTATTTCATTAAGTCTTCTATGTCCATATTAAATATTAATTGTTTTCTTATAACTATTAAATGGTCATTGTTTTCAATTTTGAATTTATGTTAAATAAAGGCCAAAATATGTTGCTTGAGTAGACCTTCACGTTTATCTGTTTGATCTCTTTTAGAGGCAAGAAAAGTTTGTTGCTAATGTGTTTGGGGTTGCAACACATATTATATCCGACGGAAACATGAACATGTTGCAACCAGGTTGGGTGGGCAAAAAGAGCAATGCAACATCGAGTTGCTCGACAACATTTAGGTAGTTCAGCCATTCTGTTTGTTCTCTCCAAACTCCAGCTACATGTGTATTAGGCATTTCCTTTTCCTGCTCTGTTAAATTAACAGATACCTTATGCCATAGCGATCAATTTTCTATGTAGTTGGATTGATTTATTTCCTTTTCCTCTCTACCCCTACAAACATATAAGCACGCAAATATTAATATATTTACTTGTAGCCTGATGGTAATGGGAAATTGTGGTTTATTGAACCCCGCCTCCGACGAGCAATAAGGCCGAATGTCATGCGTGCTATACCATCAATAGCTTTCCCGCTTAACACCAACCATTTGCAAATAAGTTGTATGCTACAACAACACAACAATTGATTTGAAATACGCTTATTACGGCGAAGTATGTTGCTATCTCGAATTCACTAATTGCAATAGAAATGCCACTCTACTTAAAAAAATGCAGGTTCCTGCACGCTTGGTATTTGTTATGAAATAAATAAATCCGAAGGACAAATCCTTCGTGTATGCATGTCATGTTACTGCTTTTGTAATGATTTTGTTTATTAACGCATTAAATTAGTGCAATATTTATTTTTTTTTAATTTTTAAATTTGTTTTTCTTTATCCAACATATGTTCGTAAATAAAATTTTGAATGCATATAAAATCAAAAGGGGTAGCGAAGCGCACCGGGTTCAGATAGTTATATATATTTTTAGAATTGAGTAGGATTCTGTTTACTATTTACATTCGAACAACGGCCCTATTATATTCATAGAAAATACAACGTCGAATAAGTTCTTTGTTATAACAACTAATTCATAAGAGTAGAGTCGAGAAAAATATGAAAATGTTTATGAGTCAGGATATACGATTTAAAATATATATAAGCTTATTTTGTTTTTTGGTTCCTCTTCTATTGAGTACGCGATCGTCACATGGGTATAAGTCGTAGGAGTTGTTCTTAAATAGCTCCTGTGGAGAATAACCCAGACAAAAAAGCAAATAAACTGACAATTATTTGTGGCTCTTTCCGAAATCATACCTTTTATCTTCATAAATATTTTCCTTTTCTCCACAAATACGTTATAAAAACAAAAACATTTTTACCGCAAATTCCATTTCATCTAATTTTGCACAATAAGAATCCGCTTTAGTCAGATGGAAACAATGCTGTTAGGCAGATGAAAATAAGGCACGCTCTAATAACCCGATATACAATAGTATTCAATAAAATTTAGAACATATTGTTATTTACTCAAAAAATGGCATAACTCAAAAAATGTGTTTTGCGAGAAGACAGAAAGACATGAATTAAAATTTACGATTTCATACATTTTTGTGATTTCTGGAATTTTTTTCTATTTTCAACATAAACTAAGCTACATTCTCTGAATAAGTTACGGTAGGTAAATCATTACTCTCCAATAGTAAATCATTACTATCCAATTTATTGTAACAGGCCCGAGAGTAGAACTTGGTCTGACTATTGTAGATTGTAAACATGATTAAACGAGGTCATTAACGACTATTTCCCTTATTTAACCTTAAAGCACTTTATTGGTTTAATACAACGGACTTTATTCAGGTCTCCTATTACCAAAATAGGCCAGGTCCATGTTTTCAAACCTACCCAGTAGTAACAAATTTACTAAAATTAACAATTTTTAAAATTAGAAACCCCAGTCGGTTTAAATTTCCAGTTCCACTGTATATACCTCAAATAAATCTTCATAACGAAGGTTAACCCGGAAAAAGCTCTAACGTAAACATGCCTTAACATACAAATAAATAAAATAACGTTATGTCAAAGTTGAATTTGTTCAAGAGTGCAACTTCTCTTAAATATTGGCAGTCATGGTTAAAGTTACACATTGTTTTTTGGTCAGAAAAAGCTATACAGGGTGAGATAAAAAAACTGCAACAAAGTCAAACGCCATAATTTTTACTTTTTTAAATTCTATTGAATGAAAGCAAAAAATCGGAAATAGCATCAAATTTTAGAATATGTCTAGATTTGTTCGAGTTGGTCACCTTTGGCACGAATTATGACCTTCAAACGGCCAATGAAACCGTCACACGCTGCGCGAATGTTGCTCTGCGGTATTTTGGCCCATTCCCGGCGAAGCGCCTGCTTGAGGTAATCGACACTTTGGTATTTTTTAGTGCCAACCTTGCTTTTTTACTTTTCGGACCAATTCTGCTGATGTTGCTGTTTTCTTCCGTCCACTTCCTTGACTTCGGACTACGCTACCAGTATCACGGTAACAAGTGATGGTACGAGACACAAAAGATTTATTCACATTTAATTGCTGGAGTGCTCTAACGATAGCCACTTGGGGGTTTCCAGCCAAACATAAAGAAATCACACTATCGCGCTTGTATTCAATCACGAATAATTTTTTTTCAGGAAAATTCTCACCAAAATGCTTTTGTATGCTTGTAAACAATATAATGAGTTGTCACTGGAATAATTTTAACAGCTGCCGGACTGTATGTGCTGGCATAACACAGATCGGCTCAGCTATAGCCTTGTATAAAATACGCATTATACGCATCCCCGTAATACCTCCGATATTTATGAAATTTCATACGTTGTAATTTCATTTTTTCAAAGATATTAAAGCATGTTAATTTTCGGTGCTATATCTAAATTAGCGTTAGAATTTGAAACTCTGGTTATTTTCTATAAATGTTTATTCCTGCGAAAAAAAATTTAATGGAATTTTAAGACTCAAATTAATTTTAAAATATCTGTTTGGCTTCAGACTTTGTCTAAGTAAAATCTTCAATTAACATGTTTTCCCTTCTTTTCATTTCATATCTCGGTTATTCTTTAATTTAAACACACCATCCACTCACCTTTCAACAACATATGCTGGCGAAACCTGCGATGGATAACAAAATATTTAAAACAACAATCATAACCATGGTGTGTGGCTATCTACGAACGAACGATGAACATTGGATGTTCTATGGTCGGCATTCTCTCCCTGAACTACGAAACATAAATGAATCGACCGTACGTACTTTGTGTGTACAACAATTAACATGGCAACTATGTATGCGAATATGCCAATGTAAACATAAATAAACGCACGGATGCTCATTCCAGACCTGATGACATCCACACATTGTACTCTGGACGTACAGTGGAAATTAATAATACTGATGCCGAGGGACGTCTGGTATTGTCCGATGGTGTTGCATATGCCCACAAAGATCTAAAGGCGAACATAATATTGGACATGGCAACACTGACTGGTGCCCAGGTGCGTATGTTTCGTGTATTTTGAAATGATTAGAATAACTTGTATTTGACAACATAATTTTGTATATTAAACGTTTTTTTATGGAGGGATGGAAACATGCCAGCTTTGTTCAAGGCAAAATTTTTTATACATCAAAACATTTCCAGACAAATCAATGATCTTAAGAATGCATAAAATAGTCCTAGTGACAATAACGTGTTTCATATAAAATTTTGTTAAATCCTTTGAAGACATTATGCACATATTTGCAGTTGTTTCATTTTCATCCAGACATACTGTTCTGTGTCATAGGCTTGTTTGATTATTCTCATTCAGATTCCTTTGTTTGAAATATTGCAGTTCAGTGACTGTTCAAAGCTACTCTTGA